ATATATATATAGAAAAATGAATATTAGGAACTATATTTATCAAACATTATACTGGGCAAGGAAAAATTGTTTCTGGGCAAATGAAATGTGAAAGTCACTTGCCCTTTGGGCAAGTGGTAAAAATCCTTAACGTCAACCCCTGGCCATGTTTCCATTCAACTGAAATTCTAATTTTTCAAAAGTTCAAATGTTGTGCAGTGATTCCATTTGATTTGAAGCCAATTAAGCAAGCACTGCCACGGCGTCCTACGTCGTCTTCCACAATGCGTCGTTACGCATGGCTGTAGTAAATAAGAAGTAGAGGCTGCAATCTAGCAATGACCACGGATCAGTGATGGAGGAAAGTTTAAATGAACGTATTGCTATCTGGTAAGTTGTTCTTTTGTTATCATGCCTGCTAGTAATTGTGATGCTGCTTCCAGCCATGTTTAAGTTGTAACAGGAACAATCCAGGAAGACGTGGACACAGAAGCAGCTTATCTTTCATGCGAGTAAAAGTTTGCTACGTCAGGCCTGATTCCAAAAAAGTGTTTCCATCCTCCGTTTTGCAGAATAACTCTTTTTCCACAAAAAACATAAACCACCCTTTAGCGAGCATAAAAACTTTTTTTGCGAATTTATTCGAAGTTTGCCGATTCCATCAGCTTTCCGGATGAGATATCTCAAAATGCGCATTAGAAAAAGTCGATGGAAACGCACCTACTGAGAGAGGCAGATGTTTCTTGAGCACCTCAAAGAAACCTCAATAAGGAAAATGTAGGAATTTATTAGGAAACATCGAGAAAAATATTTTCTTAAATTGGGGTTTTTGATTAGTTGATGCCTATTTCTAATTGACTAGACAAAGTATTGTAGACTAAATAAATCCTTATTATGATGTTCCAAAAACTATTTAAATCTCTACCAAGTATCTTCCCATTTGTTTTATTTATTCTAACTACATTTTGAATGCTCCATCTTTAAAAACAAAAATAAAGAAAAGGTAGAAAAAAATAAAAAAAAAATTGCGGCTCTTCTTTGTTTTTCTACCATTTACTATTTATTAAATACAGTGTATTAAATAAAACCTTCTGAAATAATAGGGTCAGCAGTAGGAGAGGGTAAGGGTAAACACGAAACAAGATTACTTTGTCCCCCACTCTCTTCAATGTCGCCTGTAATTTAAATACCTTTTTTTCCTGCCTAAGAAGCCAAATATTAAAAGTTCAAAGGCTAATTTTACTAACATCGTATTTATTCAAAAGTGCTTCATAAGAGTAAAATAAAAACAAATAAATGTATAGAGATTGTCTGAACTTTCCTGGACAAAGGTGTTTAAATATAGACCAGACAGGCTGAAGGATAACAGCTGAACACAAACACTTTAAACTACTTATGACCATCGACGCGAATAATCCTCATGCTCTCTATCTTTAAAGGTTAAAGGTTTCCGGTTCTCAACAAAGAAAACTATTAGTACTGGAATCTTTAAACATCATGTATAGTTAACAGACATTAACTTAATTGTAAGCAGATACAATTTCTAAGAAATCAATGTGTGATGCAAACTAGAAATAAGACAACATTGTTAAAGACAAACCATTTTAGGTAGTCTCTGTGTGCCTCCAGCTCCAGGTAGAAGGCCGAGCATAACCTCAGGTGTGCCAAGAACCGTCTTCTTGCTTTTTGTTGCAATTCTGTACTGACAGGCAATGGCAAACTAAAAAAGAAAAGAATAAACGATTATAAATCGATCCATTTCAGAGAACACATTTACAGTTTAAAGCACCTTTACCTCCAAGCCTCCTCCTAAACATGAACCATTGATGGCAGCAACAACTGGTTTAGGAGACTTTTCAATCCGCTCAAACATTTTCTGTCCTTCCTGGGAGAGTTTTGTTACCTCCTCTGCAGTGTTGCAGGCCTGGATCATACTGAAATGAACATGAGTGTTAATTTCAAAGCTGTATTATCAATGAACAGAATCTCTAGAAGTATCACAGGGCTAGTATTTAAATGTCATTAACCACTTCTACAATACATCAGTGACAGGATCCGGCCATCTAGGATGTAAGAATCTATAATCAATTGTTTTTTAAACAAATTTGATCGCTTTACTTTTATAGTAAAAATACAAAAATATGGAATTCCAAAAAGAGAAAAACAATCCACTGGAATTTGTTTCCAAGTTTGAAGATGTTTCACTTCCCATCCAGGAAGCTTTTTCAATTCAAATCATTTTGAAATGAATCGAAAAAGCTTCCTGGATGGGAAGCGTAACCTCTTCAAACTTGGAAACAAAGTCAAGTGGATAGTTTTAATTTTCTTTTTTATGGAATGACTACAACCCAGACGACTGAGAATCTTCACCAGCATAAATATGGAAGTGGTTTTTAGTACCAATAAGCAAACAAAGGTAATTAAACCAAGATTTTTTTTTCCCCTCATGAACATGCCGTATCTACATCAATAGGTTCAAACAGCCGAAAAATTGGTCTCAAGGAGGAAAAAAAAGAGTTAATGTGATTCACTTACTTAATATCAGCTCCAGCAATGAAGCATCCTGGCTTTGAGGAGATGAGAACAGCACTTTTAACAGCCTCATTGGCCCAAACTTCATCCATTACTTCAATCATCTCCTTTTGCATCTGAACTGACAATGTGTTAACCTAGAAGTAGCCATAAAGAAAACAAGAATTACATTTCATCTGCATATTCCACAGATGTGCAGTTTAGAATTAACTTTGTCAGAGTTCAAACCTTGGAGTTTGGGTCATTAATCCGTATGACTGCAACATCATTCTTGACTTCATAACTAACATGAGTTCGGGCTGAAATCAGACAAGAGGAAACATAAATGTTTAAACAGAACCAGGGTGAAATTATTCAAACATGCTGAGTTTATAAAAAAGAAATATATATATTACCAAGCATGGCAGGAGCTACTGAGAAGGTGCGAAAAGCACTGCCTGCAAAAGGAAACACCATTAAAATGGTCAAACAGTAGTTTGAATTGCATTTGTTAGGTATGTTACTCTCAATAAGTCTGTCGCTTCTGTTTGTTAAAGTGAAAAAGTACTACGAGTGGGGTTGTATATCTTCTTCTTCCAGCTTTTATTGTCATTATACTGTCACAAGTACAGAGCAATGGAATTAACTCTCTGCATTTAACTCATCCCTTTGGGGTAGGGGTGGAACGGTTCACAAAATCATCGGATCGGTTCGGTTCACTGTTTCGTGGTCACGGTTTTCGGTTTGGTATATGTTGATTGTTAGCCTGACATGTTGGTCATGTTGCTGTTAGCATAAACAAAACGTGTTGCACAATGCTTGCACACTGTTGCACTTTTATCCACAACTTTCTTTCCGCCGTAATCGTAGGTCACTCTAAATGCAAAGTGGTCCCATACAGCAGACCTATAAAGTGCTGCTGGCGCGTCTTCCAACTCCTGTTCTTTCCCACTTGCCATACCCACACAATTCTCCACAACTGATTTTTTTCTGCTACACCCGGCTACGCTGCTTCGCTTCTTCTTCTTCTTGTTTACTACTGGTGTTTGGCTTTGGTCGCAGTACCGCCACCTTCTGCTCTGGAGTGGAAACGCTTCGCCTATGAGAAAAAGGAGCAGCGCATGAACCGAACGCAACACACGCGAATGGAACCGAGACAGTCGAACCGAACGGTGCGGACGGTTTTCATAGACCGTTCCATCCCTACTTTGGGGGAGCAGCGGGCTGCCATTGTGCGGCGCCCTGGGAGCAGTTTCGGGTTACGGTTCTTTGCTCAGGGACCCAGAGTGTCAGTCTATGGGAGTGGGGCTTTAACTCAGCACCTCTGGATTCCAAGTGTAATGCCCTAACCACCAGGCCGCCATATAACATATCGACTAGAAAACTGACATTGACTTAATTGAACAGATACAGTTTTATATTCTTAAACAATTCAAGTAAGATTAAAGTACGTTTCATGCAACAATATTCTTTGCTTCTATTATCAGTTAATGAGTATATATAATTTTTCATACAAACAAAAAATGAATTTATGGCTAGGTGACATTATATGAGTTAGTTAGGTGATTATTATTTAACTAGCCACTAAAAGCGGGGAAACATATTTAGCCAGAAGAACAGCAAGAAAAAAAGCTTGGAAATATATTTAATTTCTGAAATTTGCAAATTCTGTTTTTGCTGATAATCCCTGAATATGAACCCTTCACAGGGCCCTTTTTTTTTTTTATCACTAGCATACTTCTTACAAATGGAATCCCCCCCCGTCCCTCAGTGAGGTCTAGAAGCACTAAAACTATATCCAGCCATTCAGCAAAACTACTGCTACATTACTGTACATCTTATTTTGACTTTTGACCAATTAGATGAGCCCTTGAATGATATATTACCTACCGTGAATTAAGTAGAAAGTTAAAAAGTCAAGAAAAAAAAATTTAAAAACCTAATTGAAAAGTTAAAAACTAAAGTTAAAAACTTAATAAGCCTAGTTAACAATTATATTTAGGTTTATAAACTAAAATGTCAGTGCCAGTATCAGCATTATTGCATCTAAGGTTATGCTGTACCAAAAAAATGTGTTTCTTTCACTCTGTGTTTTTCATGAATTTTTATAGAAGCACTTTTGTTATTTTTCTTAATATATTCATGCAAGTTGGCACATTAATTTTTGCCACTAGAAAAAAAAAATATTTTTTGAATGTTACAAAGGAAATAACACTATTGGTTGGAAATTTTGATTTTCAAAGGATTTCACTGAGTGCCCTATAAAGGGTTAAATGAAGGAAACTGAACATTTAACGTCTCAAAATGCTGATATTTTCTTACTTTTTAGCATACATACACACTCTTTGAGTTAAAATTTCAAACTGTGAACAAATAATTAACAATCAACTGTTATAAGTTGTATATCTGCATTTATTCTTGCACCTGTATCCAATCAGCCCCTTTTAAGGAAATGTAAAACATGATATAGTTTATAATAATTTACTTTATAGAAGTCATTGTGAAATATATGCATGGACTGTTTATGAGACGTTTAGGTTTGACTGTCATGACCTCAGGTGGTCTAAGCTATGCTATGCGAGCATGACCCTTCACCTAGATTCTCCGCCTAGTGGCCATAAAAATGGCAAATGAATGGCAGAGCTTTCAAATCCAGCTCAAAAGTATCCAAACAAAGTCTTTCAACCTCACTGTTCCACAACTGTCTTTAACATCTATGAAGTAAAGAAATTATTCCCAAATATGGCAAATTTTACACAATGGACTTTTGTAGCGTTAAGCTAGTTAGCACTGGAAGATTTGATCGAAAGTTTGCAACCTTATACAAAGACGTTATAAAAACACCTGCGTACAATTTCTGTATAAACCCTCATATAAGTATATCTAGTTTTGAATAACAAATTGAGCGTGTTGTGACATGCAACTTCATACAATCCTTTGGAGCTGGTTAGCAGCTAGTCATACAGGCTAATTATTCAACTTGGACAGCTAGCAGAGTCTGGTATCACCAAAATAACTACTCGTAAGGTTTTTGACTTCGACATTTGGGAAAAACCCGGTGTACTCCACCTGAGAAAAGAGCATATCGTGCCGTTGACAATCTGGAGAGAACACCAAGAGCTCGAACACCAGCCATGTTGGGAGCGGAGGTCAGTCTGTGGGAGCTGAGTGATGCTAACTGAACTTAGCTTGCTCACTGTCAAGGTACCATTTACTCAACTTCCTGAGACGGATCCATCTGGCAAGAAGCTGATTGGCTATTGTTTAAACCCAGAAGCTGATTGGCTATTGTTTAAACTCAGAATCTGATTGGTCTATTTTCTAACGTCCAACTTCACTGGATTCTTCTTCTTCTTCTTCTCTATTATGGCGGATCGCAAGCAACTTTAAGGTGCATACCGCCACCTACTGTACATGAGTGTGTAGCAACATTACCTTACATCAAATTCTATTTTTTTATTCTGTAGATAAATAAATAATGCTTTCCTTAATCTGTGAATATCTTATATATTTCCTTCATTTCCCAATATTCCTTTCAGACTCCATTCTTGGCCTGTCCTTCCAACCATCCTTCTTGATTTTTCCCTTTCATGTTCATAAGTTTTACAGTTCATCAGTACATGTTCTACATTTTCTTTGTCTCCATATCCTGCACATTCATCATAATTTTTCCTCCCTATTAAATATAAATTTTCATTTAAATAGGTATGACTCTTAAACTGATCATTATTACTTCCTCCCTTCTGTTTCTCTAATTAATGATTCTATTTAATACTGATTTTTGTGCCTTATATAATCCTCTTCCTTTCTTATCTTCATTCCACCACTTTTGCCATGTTTCCATTTCTTTACTTTTAATAAGTTATTTACCTTCCCCTTTCCCAAAAGTACTTCGTTGGATGCTGTCAAGCTGGCTTTTTAAGGTCGGTATTATTTAAATGTTGTTCAATCCAAAAATAACTTTATTATTACTCGACCATAGCTGTAGTTTTACTCAACTTTATGTTGCTTCAGAAACATTATTTACAACATGTATCATTGTTTACGTATCTATAATATTTTTGTGGTTGTGAATA